GTTTGGGTTTGGCGCAGGAAGTTGAGGGTTCATGCCTAATTTTGCTGTCTCTCTCATTTGCATGGATCAAAATTCATCCAACCGATCGGGTCGCTGACTGGTTCGTTATTACACAGCGATCAAGGTGTGTGTAAGGTACTCCATGGCTAATTGCTTTTCTTTTTCTCTCCAAATATATATATATATATATATATTTAAATGATAAAATTGAAAAAGAAAGTAATTAAATTTGATTAAATGGTTTATTTTAAATATAATTTGGGTTTCTTGTGCCCTACCTTTTTAGGCTAGATTATGAAAAATACCCTTCATTTTTACTATTTGTTTAAAAAATAATTTTATTCTTTAAGTTTCAATTCTAGGCTTATTTTTTACGAATGTCTCAAAAATTGAAGCAAAACAAAAATACAATGTATTTTTATTCTAAGTGATTTACAAGGAAATTATTTAATTTAACGAAATAAAATAGATTTTAAAATTCAATTAGAACAATTTTTTTATTCTCTTAAGAATTAGGCTTGAAAAATAGAAGTCAAAGAGAGGGAAAAAAAAGAAGCAACAAAAAGAAAAAAAAAATAGTAAAATTGACATAAATTAAGTTTTGATAAAGGGTATTTTTGAAACATTTGTGTATTATCCATAGAGGGGATCTTTCCATGGAGAAGAGGGTCGACCTAAAACGAAGAGAAGGTCAATCTATTTTATTTAGTTATTCAGTTAAATCAATGATTCGTTATTATTGTAACAGATAGCATCAAATATTTCATTTCGGAAAAGCCATCTTTTTGTCATTTGATACCGTAGCTGTTTTTTAAGATATTTTGAGGCTAGAATTGAAACTTTTGAACTAATAAAGATATTTTTTTTAGATAAATAACAATAAGTCAAACATTTTTTTATTTTTTTTTATTTTTTAACTTGGCCCAAGAACTAGTAACTTACAATGCAGGTAGCTTCAAACATGGCCTATGTTAAAGTCTTCTCCTTAGGTTAATATAATAACACATACATATATAAAATGTGTCAAGTGCATCTTTGTTTAAGGGTCATTTCCTTCTTGAATATTCCCTCCTTATTTGCCTCGTTATATTTTACATGATATTAATCTGTGTGCGCACGATCTTACCTTGACTTATTAATTATTCAAAACATTTTTTATACAAAGATCTAAATTATGACAAAATAAAAATTAAACAACTTGGTGGCAATAGCGGAACAAGTTAGGATTTAAATATACTTTGACGTTACTGAAATATCCAATATTTTTTAACTTGAGTCTCTGTATTAGAAGTATATATCAGTTATAAGGTTGAACTAAGCTCACTTCCTATGTGGCTGCAGCATGTTTGATGAACAGCAGTAGAGGTTGGAAACGTGCAATTCATGCAGGGAGGGTTCCATCCAGGTATCTCTTGAGCCCTTCTCGAGGTCAAACTCACATGGAAATTCCACCATTGGTTTCGTATTATAATGTTCAAGAAAAAGACTAAGTCTTGTCTCTTAGCACAGCATTTAAGGAAGCATGGATTACTCAATCTACCCAAAGTGGGTGTGTTTTGAACATGTTTGTGCGACAATTAATCTAGAAAGTGGCTAGGCTTACTGTTTCTTTTTTGTACTTGAAGTTATTTTGTTGACTTTTACTTATAATTTGACAAGTTGCAGATTTCACCATTATTCATCTGGCCACTATATATATGGACTTAGCTCTCTTCTGTTTTCACAATTGAGTTTTTGTTCAAAGCCAATGGCTTTAATAGCTTCATTTTTTGTACTTTTAACTCTTTTCAGTTCTTCTTTTGCTGCAGATGGGTCTCTCAATGATTTATTCGCTGCAAAAGCCATTTGCAAATTCACCTCAAATCCTTCTTACTGCATCTCTGTGCTTCAAAAATCCTCAGGCAATGTCTATGAATCAGGTAGGTTTTCGATGCGTCGGTCTTTGTCTAAAGCATCTGCATTCTTGAATTTGATTGAGAAGCATCTTCAAAACAGTTCCACTCTACCAAAATCTGTCACTGGTGGTCTTAAAGATTGCCAATATCTTGCCCAACTAAACATTAATTTCTTGTCGAACTCTTTTCGGGCTGTCAATGGCACTGATAAAAAGCTAACCTACTCAAAAGCTGATTATATCCAGAGTCTTCTAAGTGCTATCTTAACCAACATTGATACTTGTCTTGATGGCCTAAATACCGTAGCCTCAGGTTCTAGTTTGGAGAAAGATCTCTTAGCACCACTCATTGATTGTACCAAATCATACAGTCTTTCTCTAGATCTTTTTACAAAAGGCTGGGTGCCTAGGAATAGAAACAGAACACGTGATCATCCTGTGACAAAACACCTCCGGTTTAGGAAAGGTCCGTTGCCATTGAGAATGTCGAAACATGACCGTGCTGTTTATAATTCGGTGGCGAATCGAAGAAGGCTTTTATCTTCTTCAGATGATGGAATTTTGGTTAATGGTATTGTAGTTGTGAGTCAAGATGGTACAGGAAACTTCCTCACCATCACAGAAGCTGTTAATGCAGCTCCAAACAACTCTCTTGCTGTCAATGGCTACTTCTTGATTTACATCGCAGCTGGTGTTTACCAAGAGTATGTGTCGATCCCTTCAAAGAAGAAGTACTTGCTCATGATTGGAGATGGTATAAATCAGACCATCATTACGGGCAACCAAAGCGTCGCTGACGGCTGGACTACCTTCAACAGTGCAACTTTTGGTAAGCATTTTGAAATACTATGTGATTAGAAACAAAAGCATGCTTTTGATTAACATTGATTGTCTTATACGAAAGGATGAGAATACGTGAGATTCCATATTGATTGGAGAGGAGAACGAAGCATTCTTTGTAAGGATGCGGAAACCTCCCCTAGTAGACGCGTTTTAAAATTTTGAGCGGAAGCCCATAAGGAAAAGTTGAAAGAGGACAATGTCTACTAGCAGTGGGTTTGGGTTTTTACAAATAGTATTAAAGCTAGACACAAGGCGGAGTGCCAGTGAGGAGGCTAGGCTCCCAAGAGAGTAGATTGTGAGATCCCACGTTGATTGGAGAGGAGAACGAAACATTCCTTATAAGGGAGGTTGAAACCTCTTTCTAGTAGATGCGTTTTAAAACTTTGAAAGGAAGCTAAAAAGGGAAAGTCCAAAGAAGACCATATCTATGTTGTTTTACCATCTTAAAGGGAAGTCTGAAAAAGTCCAAATATTTGTTAGCTGTTACAAAATATGATTTATACTTCTAATCAAAAGTGAATGGCCTATTAACATGATTCAAGTTCAAAGATTTAACATATGATTTTTACTTCTAATCAAAAGTGAATGGCCTATTAACATGATTCAAGTTCAAAGATTTATTAGATGGCTGGAAGTTCAAACTTCAAATATGTAATCATCTAAATTAAGCCAAAGTTTAAGATGTCTTTTGGTTTTACATGAATGATGCAGCTGTGGCAGCAGAAGGATTCATGGCAGTTAACATAACCTTCCAAAACACAGCTGGAGCAATCAAAGGCCAAGCAGTTGCAATGAGAAGCGGGGCCGATATGTCCATCTTCTACAGCTGCAGCTTTGAGGGTTACCAAGACACCTTATACACTCACTCCCTAAGACAATTCTTCAGAGAATGTGACATTTATGGCACAGTGGACTTCATATTTGGAAATGCAGCTGTTGTGTTCCAAAACTGCAACATATATCCCCGTCTACCGCGTTCTGGACAGACCAACATGATCACTGCTCAAGGTCGATCAGATCCGAACCAAAACACCGGTACTTCGATCCACAACTGCACGATCCGAGCCACGAGCGATTTAGCTGCAAGCAAGAGTTACATGAACAAGACATATTTGGGAAGGCCATGGAAGCAATATTCAAGAACAGTTTATATGCAGACATTCATTGATGGGTTCATAAATCCTGCTGGTTGGGATCCATGGTCAGGGGAATACTTGAGCACATTGTATTATGCAGAGTATAATAATTCAGGAGCTGGATCAAATACAAAGAACAGAGTCACCTGGCCTGGTTACCATGTCATTTCTAATGCTACTGAGGCTTCTAATTTTACAGTTTCAAACTTTCTGGTTGGGGATGCGTGGCTGCCTCCAACTGGTGTGCCCTACACTGGAGGCTTCATATAACTGGTCAGCTCTCCATATTATTCTTGCTAATATTTAATTTCCCCATATTCAACATGCCTAATAAAGTTGTTTGTGCTCTGTTTTGAACTAATGATAGTTCTTACACTAGCAAGTTAATTGTATGATTAAGGCTAAGTGAATATTTAGTCTCTTTTTTTTATGTTTTAATCTGGCCTCTATCGTTAATTTTAGTTTAATTCAATTTCTAACTATTATTTAAATATCAATGAGTTAAAATGTGTTCCGTTCCCATATTTTGTATATCTGATTTATGGATAGTTCTAGAACTATATTTGAACATTTGAAGGTAAACTTCTCAACATATCGGAACGAAAATAGTATTTCGTGTATAATAGGGAGTGGATTGTGAAGTCTCACAATAATTGAAAAGGGGAACGAAACATTTTTTTATAAGGGTGTGAAAACTTCTTCCTAATAGACGCATTTTAAAATTGTGAAGCTGACGACAATACATAACGGGTTAAAATGGACAACATCTGTTAGCGATAGGCTTGAGCCGTTACCAATGATATCAAACATGATGTTTAGTAATTTGATAGATATGTAGAGGTGCTATTTAAGAGAAGAAATCAGAACCATTCATCATTAAAGGTTCTAATTCCTCTTATAAATTTGTACCAGCTTAAATACGATGAGATGCATGTAAATTAAAAGAGTATGAAGAAAAAAATGTTGATAGAGATTAAATTGAAACTTTTAATCTAACCATTAAAAAACAAAAAACTAGGATTAAAACAAATATTTATCCTAAATTATATGATTAACGATTTTCATACCAAGCCTATTTTCTAATTATTTTTATGAATGCAGTTGAGATTGAGTATGTTCGAAGGCAGTGTCTCTAAGAATTGGAAGAATTATATTTATGTAATTGTTGTACATATACATCTGCATCTCTATAGTTAGTACATCATTTAAGAGACACCAAAAGAAAATTTTGGAGCAGCTGAGTCGCTAACTCCCTTTACAAAATGGAATCAGGATTCTAATTCTTTTCTTTTATCAAAATTGACTTCTAAAACCTTCATGCTAACAAGATTATAGGTTAGCCGCCCTTGGCTCTTCTTGCTTCTTGAAAATATATCTCCAATATATTTCTTCTATGGTACGATGATACGGTTGCCTTGCCCTTAATCCTTGCAGAGCATCGATCGCACTTCTGTGATAGAGGTTGGTGGCTCGAGGTCTTTCTCTTGTAGCGAATTCCCGAGCAATTGTTGCATTTGTGAGGCAAATGTGTCGTCGAGTACCTGCAAATGAACAAGTGATGAGAATGACAAAGGAACAAGGAAACTCATAGGTGACCATCATGACTTGCTAAGATCCCTTTATTATTTACATTTGACCTTATTGACCACCAAGCGACGTGACGAACTCTAAAGGAATTCAGTAATTGCTTACCGAAACTGCAATTCGTGAGCCTCTATACCATGACCTGTTCTCTTTCCTGTTCTCCATGAAGCTTAGAACATCCTGTGCCAAATAAAAATCCAAAAATGTAAAGGATCAAAGAATGAATTCCCAATTTTGGAGCAATTTTGAAGCAAACATGTATAGAAAAATCCAGGTTTATCTTACCCGTCCCATTCGATCCCAATAACCCCGACAGATAGCGATAAAGACACGACTCTCAAAGACAGTATGAATCTGATTTATTGTGTTTGCCAACTGATCTTTCAATGGTTGCATCCTACTTCGTATTTCTGATTCAATCACAGCTTCCTTGGAGTCTTGTAGAATCTTTTTTAGCTTTGTAGCATTTTGTAACTTCGTCTGCAGTAAACAACAAGGCAGATAAAACAAGATGATCTCACTGAAACTTAAAGAAATATCCTACTTCTTAGTCTAAAATCCCATGCCGAAACGCTCTCGAGCGACAAATTTTAAACAAAAGACTCGATTAAGCAAAATGATACCTACATTCTCAACAAACTTTTCCACAATTGCTTGCAAATAGTTTCTGAACTTGGCTCTAAGCATGACTGTCACTTCACTAAGACGTTCTCCAGGAATTACATTTCCACCTTCAGGAATGCAGGAACCCCACTGCTTAAATTGGGCTTCTATCTTTGGGCGTAAAACGTCGAGCATCCTCTTCATGGAATTTAATAGAATCCCCAGCTGAAATCATCATTGAATTTCAATATTAAGGAACACACACATATGAAAGAAAACTTCGAATTTTAAGAGTCAACTTACCTCATCAGGAACAGTATAAGAGCTTGGGGTTCGTTTGGCAAGTTTCTGAACATACTTAAGTCCGAATTTTTTGGGTGCTAAATTCTCTTTAAGAGGAGCCAAGACATCAGCATACTGCTTATCCAATGCCTCCACTAATGCTTTTTCAACATCTGCAATAGCCTATTATAGAAATCCCAAAGAAAGAAGCTAGTTAGAGAGACTTCTGATGACAAGACTAGAGAAGAAATCAGAGACCTTCAGAGATCCCATAGAAGTTCTGATAAAGATGACCTTAAATTACAGGCAAATTCTTACCCATGGTTTTTGGTTTAAAAATCAACAAACGATGAGATATGTTGAGATAAGAGACGGTGTTTACAGCAAAAAGAGTTGCCACAAGATTACGAACTTACTTGTTCCAAAACAAAGGTGTACTCGGGCCATCGACAAATGAAAATCTCAAAGTCACTCAATGTTTCCTTTAATCGGTCATACATTTCATCGACAAAAGGTGTTGTCGAATGTTGAGTCCTAACTCCCGACCACTTAACCTGCATTTACATTCATATTAACCACACCATGAGTTGAGAAGTAAAATAAACTGAGCATGTTTTCCTCAAATACAGTGATCATAGTCTCATACGCACAACAGTCGATGCTTAGGTTATACTTTCCTCTAAAGTGCATCTTTAAGTAACGGTAAGTTTGTGGGCAAGGTAAACAAAAATGTTCTACTGATATTCCCCTTGTTCATCTTTAAAAACTACATATTGTCCTTTTCTGATTGATAAAATTGTAATCTTCTTTCTAATGTTAATAGAAACCGTGTTCCTCCATGTTTCATGCTCGCAAGAAGTTCGTAATATTCAAAATATAGAAATGTAATTAATTTGACTGACCTTATCCAATCTGCAGGTTTCAAGCAACAATAGACGCTTATCCTGGATCCACACCAGAATGTACAAATGGAATAATTCTTTTGCATCAACACCCCCTTTCACAGGACTGAAAGAAAAAAAAATCATTGGAAATTTACAAGGAATGATCTCCCGAACATAACAAAATTAGTTTATGCATAAACAAAAAGTTACCTAATGTTCCATCTGGCAAGATCCCTCTGAAAATCAGCTGTAGCAATAACAAGTTCTGCTACTGCAGGTGAGGGGCCTGTTGGTGGGCAAGCAATAAGGAAAGAACGCAGTCTAGTGCAAAGCTCTGTGCTGTATATGGAAGCAGAGAGATTTGGTAGGTCTACAAAACTGCAAATAGAAACTTATGTCAGCAAGCTTCTCTTGACAAATACTAAAAAAAAGTTATTTTGAACATGTTGTCCATGAACTTTTGCTGAAAAGAATCTATCTCTGAACAGAAGGAAAGTTTTTGTAACAGTCCAAGTCCACCGCCAGCAGATATGGTCCTCTCTGGGCTTCCTCTCAAGGTTTTAAAACGTGTCTACTAGGGAGAAGTTTCCACACTCTTTCAAGGAATGCTTTATTTCTCTCTCCAACCGATGTGAGATCTCACAATCCACTCCCCTTGGGGGCCCAGTGTCCTCGCTGGCACACACCTAGCAGATATTGTCTTCTTTGGGCTTTCCCTACTAGGGAGAGATTTCCACACCCTTTTGAGGAATGCTTCGTTCCCCTCTCTGACCTCTCTGACCGATATGAGATCTCGCAGTTTTGCAAATATAGTCAATTCCCCTTTAATTTGGCTTATGGTTAACATGCAGTCATGGCTCTGAACAGGAAGCGGTACCTGGGAAGTATATGTTGATTATGGATCTCAATGTCAGTCAATATCTCCTCCCTAATGTTAAGACACACTGATTTCATCTTTTGGTAAGCAGTGGACATAGTGACATTATCGACCAAACTGCCTTCGTTATTGTTACCCATATATTCATCTGTCTCACTCAAGTGCCTCCTTGATCTCTTTTTCACAGCAACCTGAAAAGATGCTAAGCCTTAGGGCAAAAATTGAACATTCAACTTGACAATGCAATCCTACTTCCTACAGAGATGAAGTTTCTCAAAACCTGGAAATAATGGCACAAAGAAGTCTGAGCCTCTGGAGAAAGAATATCATGAAGAAGTGTGTACAATTTAACTGCAGGTTCGATAGCAGGCGCTGCAACACCAGTTGCAGGTCTGTACACCTCCATAAGACCTGAGAGAGCTGCTTCATCAAGTGATTTATAATTCTCAAAAACAAGAGCAAGTGTCTGCTCAATTTGAACCCTGGTCTCTCCTAAAATTCGGTTCTGAGAGACAACCAACAAGATTTGCAAAATGTTCATTATATACAATACTGAAAGTATAAAATAGTAGAGATAAAATAAGCATCTACTGGTTTGAACAAGGAAGCTCGAATTACTACCTCTTGATGACTCAACGTGCTTTTGTCATGGCCCTTCATAACAACAGGCATGAGCAAGTCGTGCACCAAGGTGAGGCAGTCAGCTGTTGGCGTGGCAACATCCATGATATATGAAAGATATCTATTGACATGCCAGGTACCATCAATATTCACAGTGCCGGCCATTTATGTCGAATAAGTAATTATCTTAACATAGCCCTCTTACCTTAATCTGGTATATACTTCTGAAATGCCATAGTATGATGCAAACTCTGTCAAAAGCCATTTCCAGGAACCATGCAACAAAAGGTTTCTCTGTTGAAAATGCTGAACCTTCATGGCAACCTCAAGAACTAGGTCGTATGCTACTGTTTCTGCCACCAAACCGCACTAGGGACCACAAATATAAAAAAAAATATTTACAACATGTTCAAACTTCAAATAATTTAGAAGCACCTTGGAAAACCAAAGGTTTTCTAAAACATTTTTCCTTGTTAATAAATTCACAACAAGTACAAATAGGCCAGAGAGATCTAATTGAGATCAGCTTGAAGAAAAGTGATTCTTAAAATCATGAAGAAGCTCAGGAATCAGAAAATTCAACCGAAACAATTGGGTAAGATCCATTTTGCCTAAATTTGGCGAAGGGGGATTCTCGAAAGAAAATCAGTTTATTCATTTTCAAAGACAAGATCAGTACATTATCAAATGAGGAAAAAGAGTGGAATGCTTAATAAGAGATCTAATTGGCAAAGTAAGAAAAAAAACGGGAAAGTTACGTGGCTAAGGGAAGGCGATCTAAACTTGAGAAAGGAAATCTATAGTAACATACCTTCGGTTGACTATCATCAGTACTTGCCGAGTAATTTACATATAGTTGAATTTTTCCCACGAGCTCATGTTCAGGCTCTCGATAAATAGACCACCAACGTAATTTTTCTGCCTGCATTTAACTTTTGTATAAATCTTCGACTATAGTTGAATTACTCTTAAACATAACGCATTTTCAGGGTCAAAAAAGATTTTACTGGGTTGTCAGTAATGGCAGCTATTTGCAGGACTGCTCGACCAATATGCTTTGCATTGGAATCCTGAACTTCAATTATTAGATCATCACCAAGACCATCTGGAAAGCTGTAAAGTTGTCACTTGTCAGAGATTTCGTGAACAAGGATTCCTAACTAAAAAATGGTACATGAGCAAATAACATACAAGACATGAGTTTCTCCTGATCCAGCTTGCATTTTGACGGCATCTTCCTCAGCTAAACTTTTCAGTCTTAGCAAACATGGGTATGTTTCTGATGACAGCGAACGAAGGGATTCAGTATAATTTATAATGTCCAGTATAATTAATAGGCATGTTCAAAATCAGAATTTGTAAGTAAGCATTACCTTGTACCACCTCATAGGAAGTTGAACTGCTGCGCAGGGTTGTTACACCAGCTTTAAGAACTTTGGATACCTGCTTGATGTACTGGGTGCTTGCATGCACATATGCCATGCTTTGTCTAGATAAAGAACTGTTTACAGGTATCCGTGGTGCAACGCGAATTTTATTCAAAGCATGCCATCCAGAAACTACTGCTGATTGAAAGCTAGAAAATTGGTACTTGATGGTTTCTAGGTTCACTACAGGTGATTTTAAAGATAAAATATTACAGCCTGTTGGTGGATCCAGCCCCATCTTCACTTTCCTCACTGCACAATAAACATTCTTTAGGTCACATCCATTGCCACCTGAACAATGAGGTTTTTATGAATACCATGCACTTTACCTTGCACCTTTATTTTGCCTATTGTTTTCTTTGGTTTAGTGGGAGCTCCCTCATTGGCGAGTTCAGAAGTACGCTTCACCAACAATTCATCCTCCGACTGTAAGAGTACTTGGCGTAAACTGCAGCATATTGATCGAGACATAAGTTGGTAAAAGCAATGAAGAGCAATTTTTCAACTCAAGATTTTGACTCTTTGCATAGGAAAAATTGTAAGAAGTCAAATGAGATGAGAATGGACCTACCCAAATGCATCTCGTAGTACTGCACATTCGTTTTCCAAAAACGTCGGGGCTTCCATATTCTCCATTGCCCAAGCATGAAGACATAAACGCACACAGGCATCATATGCTATGACAGCATACCACGGCCCTAAAGCACTGATATTGGAATTATAAACCCCATAAGAAAACTAAATTAAGATAGCATGTCATCAACAATAAACCCTAAACAGTTTAGATGGCAAAACCTGGCATTATATGTGGGGAGGCGAGCTAATCCTGAACTACCAGCAGCTTCCGAATTCACAGGTCTGCAAATAGAGCAAGGAGATGATAACATTTCCGATCCCAACTTTTAGAACGAACAATGAAACGTTAAGGAATACAAAGACTTGGCTGTCATTTATTTAGACTGTTCTAATGGGAAATTTTTCGTGCTGCAGTTCAAACCGGTCACTGGTTCAGAAACCAACCTCACAAACTGGTCGTCGCTCTTCTTCCCATTCTGCAATTCAACCCCAGACGGAGTTTTACGATCATGTGTGCCGTCAAGCTTCACGTCTTGGCGTTTTTCAGGGCATTGTTTAATTTCATGCGATGAAGCACAAAAAGGAGGCGCACTGGGAACGTCATCTTGATCATCGTCATCCGAAAACCTTCCATTTTGCTGATCTTGCAGAATAGACTAAATCAGCATTACACAGATGGAAAATGAGGAACATAAAAGTTTCAAAGAAATGTAGACCTTTCTAGGCGCATTGCCCGCATTCATACGAGAAGGCTGGCTTGATGAGTATCCCTCTGAAGCCATTGAAGCTCTATTCCTGGGTATAGCTCCATTAATACTTCCCCCTACTTGTGTAGTAGAAAATTCAGAACTCGCAGCAGAATCAGAAGAATCGTCTTCTGTATAAACATTCTGCCCAGTTGGGAATCTCCCATTTGTAGCCCTCATCCTTTCAGCCATTGGCCTATGACCCCCCACCAACGTTTCCCTCGACGAACTAACATCAGAGAAAAAGTAATCACTCCCATTATTTAACCTCCCCGGCAAATGATTTCCATATCTATAACCAGAACGATTTGGTACTCCGTTCCGTTGCGGTGATGAGTCCATAGAATATCTAGTTCCATAAACATCCTCCTCAGAATCAGTACTCATATCATTCTCTGAAGCTGATGCACTATTGTCCACATCGCCTGATATGGTTCTCGATACTGGAATCGCACTCCCCGGCAAATGTCCACTTCTGAATTTCGACGGCGGTGGCAATCCAAACCCCCTTGCTCCGGTACCCGCTCTGATGCCAGTGATTGGATCGGCTCGAGACCTCATATTCGAAGAACCAAACGGTACTTCCTTCTGTCAAAAAAACAAAATAATCAACGGATAGCAGAAATCCCACACCAAAACTCAACAGTGAGAAGAAAGATGAACAAGAACAATTTGACAACAAAATCAATTTAAAAGCAAAATAATAGGGATTGAAGTAGAATGAAACCTCGCGAACCCATCGAAGGGCACTTTTATCAAGTCCGTCGGTAAACATTCTACCTCCCTTTCAACCTCCTAATCTCACAACCGCGAAATCAAATCTCAAATCCAGAGTTCAGAAATTACCAGGAACTCACATTAGAATCGAACCCTCAGAGCTCACTGCACGAAGAACAACAAAAAAACTCGACAAAAAAGGCAATGCCGCTCGGTAAATCACGCAGATTGCGATGAACAGAAAGAGAGAGAAGATCAACAGAGAGGGAAAACGAGTACGAGATTTGAAGAAAAAATGGAGACAAAAGTTTGCTTATACAGCAAGCTTTTTAGCTCTGAAACCCACTGGAAAGCAAGGGACTACGGCTTATGGTGGTACTTTTTGGCCACCTTTTATCTATTTATTTATTTATTTATTTATTTTAGATTCCATATTTTTCACAATTATTAAATAAAGTATTTGCATTAAAGGAAACGACGACGTTTTCAGCTTGTTTTATTTGGAATAATTCATTAATTAGGCCGAAATTAAAGGACACGTACTTGAAGTGTGCGCCGGGAAAATGTAACGGGCAGCATACGTGGCAGTCATTCGTGTTTTTTTTTTTTTTTTTTTTTTTTTTTTTTTTTTAATAATGGGAAAAATATTAGTGAACGTTGAAGTGGGGACGCAACGCTTTCCTTCACTTGCCGATAGAAGACGACTAGCAACCGGTTCACATGGGCGTCCGGGTCCCACTTGGCCCCTACTTTCTGTCCTTTTCGTCACAGCTTGAACCGGTGCCGAATTTCCAGTTTTTGCTTTATTTAATATTCGAATTTAAAATACGAGTAAAAATTCAAAATTTCTTCCAATATGTCAATTTGGAACAGCTTAAAATTTAATTAAAATATCCAAAAAAAAATAAATTGAATACTACTTTTTATAATTTCAGTAATTATATCGTGTAAAAAGTACTAAAATAAATACAAAAATAAAAGGTAGAAAATCAATGGATTATAATAATGTTTAATCAATAAATTCTTTAAAAAATTAATTAATATTTAACGGGTCCGCCCTGAACTCAACTCAAACTTAAATAAACTCTGGCTCATAGCCAAATTGAAAAGGTTGGACCGTGGATTTGGCTATTAAGACATGGTCGAATGAATCAATGGTCAAACAATACTCTTGGTGCATTAGACTTGGCTGAAGCAAAACTCGAGCCTTTACTTTTTAGGGTCAACCCTCGGTCATATTGATCGGGTGAATTTTTTTTAATAAAAGAATTAAAAGATAAAATTGAATTTTAGAATCAGACAAGGATATGTTACTTTAAAAATAAATTATAATTTATTTATGATCATCACGCTCTTTAGTACTATATTTTAAGTCTTGTATGTGAATCCTTACATCACCAAGCCAGTCATGCCTCGTTGAAAGGGAGGATATGAACTATTTCGTTGCACGACTATTTTAATCTCATGATCGAATTGGGACAATTTACCTTTGGTAGCTCCATTTTCCCGACCCAAAAACAGAAACCGAACCACCATCAAATTGTTGAGGGCACGTTTAATGAGAAGGCGGAAGCTCTCCGAGTTTACCATCCTACACACTAATAAGCTAAGAAAGAAGCAGGCGGACGAAACAATAAGAAGAGGCGCCCAACTAAGAATGAGCGAGTTACTAAATAAAATTCAAATATTTAATGGCAAAAGCTTATTATAAAAACGTATAAAACTATATAAATAGAATTGATGGGAGACCAACGGCTAGGGGAAACTATGGGCAGACAAGATCGAGATCGTCAAGACATGCTCTCGTCCTGCCACGTGGAGGATTACTGTATGCAACGTGTCGGCGCCCCATTGGATGATTGAGAATCATAGAACATTATTAAAACAACTTTGGTTTGAAAATTTTTGAACGCCTCGCGTGAAACCAGCAGAATCATAGAATAAAATTGATCATTTTCTGACATTTTTCATTAAATTAATTTAAATAATATTGTTTTTTTGGTGTGTGGTGGCGGTGGCCCTACTCGATTATTTATTTATTTGAAGTAATTAATAGCTGGAATTTTTATTTTTATTATTTTTTTTTGTTTTTTTTTTTTGTAATTGTGAAATTAATATTACATGGATGGAATTATTTCCCTCCCATTAATAATAACTATATAACTGTTCATATTTTTACTTTATTTTATTGTTATATTTCTAATTTTGTGTAAGGTAAATTTTAAAGTCGGAGATATTTATTTAACATAAAATTTAAAATTAATATTTATTTAAATTTATTATTATAAAAAAAATAGAAATGTCCTGAACTAAGACATCAATCATGCAATATAAAATTCAAGAAAAAACTTGAAGAAAATGATGTCAAGATTATCAAAAGATATTTTAATTTGTATCACAAATTTCAGTGTTTTAAAATTTGGGTGAATCATAATTTTGAGTTATGACGTTTATTTAATGTATTTAAAGACTTATTTACATAGTAGCTAATTAGAATCATAAAGTATACAAAGTGACTATGGTCATAAAATATGGTTACAGCTCTTTGAATGCGTGATGAACATTAAATTTTTTTATTTTGAGACTATATAAAGTTATGGGTTAGATTTACCCGAGAGTCAGAGTAGTCATAATAATGTTTATAATGCTACACAGGTATAGTAAGCAAAATAATACGAAAAGAAAAGGGAGGATATAAAATAATCATAGTGTATGCATCGAATGAGCGGGAAGTGGTTGATATTATCCCTCCAGGACCAGAACTTCTTGTTTCAGAGGGCGAATCATCCATCAAAATCAACCATTAACGAGTAATCCCACTAATCTGGGAGGATTTGGTCAGGGAGATGCGGAAATAGTCCTTGAAGATACATTACGTGTGCTATGTATCTTGAAAAATGTACTAAAATGAGCATTTGTGCTTTTCTTTAGCCATTGACTAAGTTTCTTTGCAATTCTATGTACTTACACGTAGAATCATTCAAGTTTAACATGATCAGTCTTAAACAGGTGGGAGGAGAACGTAGAATCATTCAAGTTTGACATGATCAATCTTAAACGAATCAGAACGGGGTTGGAAAGGGCAAGGGTATTCCGCTTACTTCAATAGTAGAATCAAGTACTGGGCAGTAGGACTCCAGATTTAGCTTCTTACTTGCCATTGATTCCCTTTCAACCGATGTTTTCAATTCTGGGCTGCTTGGTTATGGTTTCGGCAATAGAGCTGAACGTGGACTCAAGTGTTATAGGGAGGAAAGGGATACACGATGTCTTGGACATGATACCTCAATTGACCACCGAGAGAGGCGATCCTATGTGGTATTTACTATACTGGGCCCGGCCTAAGTTTCATTGGTAGGAAAATGAAAAATATTGTGAGGAGAGTTTTTTTAAGAAGGAAACTCAGAACCGAGATTAATCTCAGTTATCTGATTTTGACACGTGGCAGACATTTAAATGTTATATAATAATAAATAAAAAAGATAGAGGCCCAGGCCTAGTAACAGGCCCAGTAACAGGCCCAATAAAACTAAAAGAGATCGCACGCGCAGAGCAGAGCAGGACCTGGCTTTCCCAAACAACGAATAACAACAATTAACAATCATATCTAGAAACCGCCATTTTCTCTCAATTTCTGTCCATTTTCCCGGATGCCAAACACTCCACCACGATGTCGGGTGCGTGGGAAGACAATCACAATGATACCGACTCCGATCATCATTCCCACATCAATTTCGATTTCTTCTCCGCCATTGTTAAGCCGAAGGTATTTTAATTAACGTTCTTCAACTTTCCTGCCATCTACCGAAGCGTATTTGCCGCAATTTCTTATCTCCGCCTGTTTCTAGGATTATTACAAAATTTTGGAGGTCGGTTACGACGCTACGGACGATGAAATTCGTTCCAATTACATACGCCTGGCTCTGGTTCGCTCTCTCTCTCTCTGTAATTGTTTATCGGTAAATTTTTATCTCTTTTCTTTTGATTTTCGTTTGTTTATCGGTTGGATTGTGTGCAGAAATGGCATCCTGACAAGAAGAAAGACCACGACGGTGCCACTTCCAGATTTCAGGAAATAAACGAGGCATATGAAGGTCAGTTGCGCGCCATAACTTTTTTTCGTTTGTTATTATTCATATAGTTAATCAACGAGAGAGAAGAGAAGTCCTCTAGAAATGGAAGTGGTGTTTAGTTGCCTACCGCGATAATTTTGACCTAATTCTCACTTATTATAGTGTCGATTATAATTTGTTTATAAGTTGTACAGCGTTGAGCTCAACTGCGTGTTTGCTGGGTGCATTCACCAGCTGCAGAGCCATGTGAAGTAGAGCATTTACATCTATTCATTGTCTCGCTAAGTCCTATATTCAGTGGATATCGAATCAATTATTTACTGTTTTGATATCAATTAGAGACATGGCATCAGGGAACATCAAATCCAGAGAAGATTGCTAATTATCTTTATTTATTTATTTAGAATTTCAAAACAACCAGTAGCTTCTGGGGAGAAAATTCTTCAGCCTTCCGTATATGTTTCTGCAACTTCTAGGAGTTTTGGCACAGTTAAAAAATCTTTCTGTGAGGCGATGGCGAAGTTTTATATCTTAACACCTTTTTTTCAATATAATTTTCCTTTTTTGACTATTGAAGGAGCAAAAACTAAAGATTTTCTTTTAAAGAATCTTATTGGGGCACCACCCTTCCTTAGATTTTAGTTCCTCTTCTGTTTTTTTTTTTTTTTTTTTTTTTTTTTTTTTTTTTTTTTTTTTTTTTTTTTTTTTTTTTTTT